TTATTTAATTTATTTATTTATTTAATTATTTAATTTATTTAATTGAGTTATTAATTAATTAATTAATTTATTTATTTATTTATTTATTTATTTACTTGCTTAATTTAATTTAGTAATTAATTTATTTATTTAATTAATTTATTTAATTGAATTAATTTATTTATTTATTTAGTTACTTATTTAATTTATTTAATTTAATTTATTTAATTAATTAGTTAATTAATTAATTAATTTATTTATTTATTTACGAGTTCGTTGAACTGCCCATCGAAATCCATCATCTCCAACTCCTCCAAACATCGGCTCCTCAGCTGCAAATTAAAAAACAAAAAAAAATTTGTTTATTTATTTATTTATTTACTTTTGTTTTAATTAATTAATTAATTTGTCTAATTAATTCATTGATTTATTAATTAATTTGTTTCAATTAATTAGTTAATTAATTTGTTCGATTGAGTAATTAACTAATTAATTATTTATTTTGTTTGATTTGGCAATCAAATAATTAAATAATTAATTAAATAATTAAATAATTAATTTGTTTAATTAATTAATTAATTAATTTGTTTCATTAATTAATTAATTTGTTTAATTAATTAATTAAAGGATTAAAAGGTCGTAAGCCCCCTTTAAACAAAGACAGGTTAATTAATAAACAGATGAAATATAAATACAAAAATAGAAGAAGAAAAAGACGAATAAATTCAAAGGAAAATTAAATAAACAAATGAAGAACAAACAAGAGAAAATAAACAAATAATAAGTAAACATTAAACAACAATACTAATACAAATAAATAAATTATATTTAACAAACAAAAACAAACAAACAAACATAAAAATATATAAACAACGAAGCAATTAGAAAGAAACCAACTTAAAAAATAAATTCAATAATAAACAAATAATATGGCGTCAATTAAACAAACAAACAAACAAACAAATAAACAAATAAATTAAATAAATAAATAAATAAATGTAAACAACAAATAAATACAAGGGGGTATATAAACAGAAAACAAATAATATGCTGTTAATTAAACAAACAAACAAACAAACAAACAAACAAGCAAACAAATAAACAAATAAATAAATAAACAATAAATAAATCAATTGATAAACAAACAAGCAAACAGTAAATAAACAAATAAACAAACAAATGAACAAACAAATAAACAAACAAATAAACAGTAAATAAACAGTAAATAAACAAACAAACAAATGAACAAACAAATAAAACAGATAAACAACAAATAAATAAACAAATAGACAAATAAAAAACAAAGCAGAAAAGACAGCAGAGAGCGTGCATCTGGGAAAACAACAAAAGAAACGAAGAAAAAGCAAATAAACAAAACAAATAATAAATAGATAGACAAAGTAAATAAATATATAAATATATAAATATATAAATATATTAACACGTCAAAACCTTAAAACAAAAAAAAAAGAACAAAGAAATCAATGCCCCAACGGGTGAGCTGACGGACCCCATGAAACCCTAGGGTTTACTAATTAGGGTTTAGGGTTTAGGGTTTAGGGTTTACTTCTTCGCCTATAAAGCCGCTCTGTACAGCCACTCCATCTATCATCAAATCTCTAATTGTTTCAGCTTGAAGAAAGCACAAAGGGCCCTCGTTGTATGCAGCTGCAAGCAAAAAACCCTAAACCCTAAACCCTAAACCCTAGCACTAATAAATGAATATAAATCCTTCGAACCTAAACCCTAGCCCCACAAAACCTAAACCCTAGCCTTACAAGGGTTTGCTAGCAAGCCGCCTTCCCGACTGTCACGGTGTTGCTCCTGCCGCATCTGCAGCCTCAAACAAACCCTAAACCCTAAACCCTAAACCCTAAACCCTAAATCCTTAATCCTTAATCCTCTAAACCCAAGGGCTTAACGATATGCAGCGATGAACCCTTAGCACAGCTGCAGGTTTCAGGGTTTGCGTTTCTTAACGGCTTCAGGCTATCTATGACCTTGAAACAAGGGTTTAGGGTTTAGGGTTTAGGGTTTAGGGTTTACTTCATGCGCTATCTGCGCCTGCACTTCTCTGAGAAGTGCCTCCTTAAGGATTTCTTCGTGAAGATGAATATCCTCAGGGCTCCCCTTCTCCATGCTCATTCCATCTGAAACGCAAACCCTAAACCCTAAACCCTAAACCCTAAACCCTAAACCCTAAGCCCTAAGCCCTAGCAAACCCTGTAAAACACTAAGCCCTGAAAAACCCCAAAGTCTGGATAATCCCAAACATCCCCGACCCTAGAAAACCGTAAACCCTAAACCCTAAACCCTAAACCCTAGGAACCCTAAACCCTTGAAAACTTCAAACCGCGAGTTTCTACAGCGCGTACTCGCAAAGCCGTAAACCTCTCAGCTGCAATGGGTACGTGCTTTGCAGGTATGAGGGTTTAGGGTTTAGGGTTTAGGGTTTAGGGTTTAGAGCTTGCCTTTTTCTCCTCTCAAAAGAACATTCTTGTATACCTTCGCTGCTCTTTCACAAATATTTGGAAGGAGGGTTCTAAGCTTATCTCTTCTTAAACAATCATCAAGACGGCGGCCTAAATTATCTGAGGGATCCCTGCAAAATGAATAAGGAGCTGCTGCTGCTGCTGCTGCTGCTGTGTCTGCTTCGTCTGGAGCTGCTGCTGCTGCTGCTCCTGTTCCTGCTGCTGCTGCTGCTGCTTCGGGGGCTGCGGAAGAAGAGCAGCAAGATGATTCATTGCCGTGAGAATGAGAAGAACCGCCGCAGCAACTCTTCTGCTGCTGCTGCTGCTGCTGCTGCTGCTGCTGGGCGGAAGAGCAGCAGCTCTGGGTCGCCTTTGTCTCTGTTCCCGTTCCTGACCTAAACGCATACGCCAGCAAATAAGGGTTCTTAGGGTTTAGGGTTTGGGGTTTAGGGTTTAGGGTTTGGCGTTTAGGCGTCTAGAGTTTAAGGTCTAAGGCTCTGCGCGCATTGTTGCTGCTGCATCGCTTTAAGCTCAAGGCGCAACCGAAACAGCTACTCTAAACCCTAAACCCTTAACCCTAAACCCTCAACCCTAAACCCTAACCTGACTCTTCTCTCCAAATCTCGGCGAGTGCTGTAGGTGAGTTGTTTGTAGCAAGCAGCAATCATAGCTTCTTCCACCTCCTTTGTCCATACTTTCTTGTTGTTGTTGTTGCTGCTGCTGCTGCTGCTGCCGCTGCTGCTGCTGCTGCTGCTGCTCTTGCCCCTGCTGCTGCTTCTGTCATCGCTGTTTTTATAGCTGTTCTTATCATTGCTGCAGCTACTGTCCTTACTGCAGCAGATGTTGCGATCCTTAGAACTGTTGCTGCTGCTGCTGCTGTTATTGCTGCTGCTGCTCTCCTTGCTGTTGCTGCTACTGCATGTTGTGCTCCTGTCATTGCTGCTGCTGTCGTTGCTGCTGCTATTCTTGTTGCTGGTGCTGCTGCTCCTGGCGTCTCCTTCGGTGCTGCGACTATTGCTGCAGCTGCTGCTGCACCCCTGCTTCTTGTTTCCTGTCGTGCTATCGCTGCTGCTGCTGCTACTGCTACTGCTGCTGCTGCTGCTGCTGCTGCTGATTGACAGTGCAGCAGCTTCCTCCTCCCCCGTTCCCATATTGCTGCTGCACGAGGTTTGTGTCTTTTGAAGCCCTCTTGAGGTGTATGTACACCTCAGACGAAACGATAAACCCTAAACCCTAAACACTAGTTGTAGGACGAGGATGGAGAGAAGTGCAGCCCCGCCGAACCGTTCAGGGTTTAGGGTTTAGGGCTTAGGGTTTAGTATATCCGGTGTCTCTGCGACTACAAGTTTCTTAGTAGCTTCCTTAGCAGCAAACAAGAACAAGCATCCACAGCTATAGTTAAGGGTTAAGGGTTTAGGGTTTAGGGACTAGGGATTAGGGTTTAGGGTTTGGCGCTTGGGGGCCCCCAGCGATCCTGCAGACGGCCGTAGCGGTTCAGAGTTACTGCGGGAGTGTCTAGGGTTTAGGGTTTAGGGTTTACTGATTGAGTCTGTAAAAGCAATGTCAATCTCTTCTTCCAATTAAATACCTCCGCAGCACCACGAAGGCTAGCGCGTGTAGCAGCAGCAGCAGCAGCAGCAGCAGCAGCAGCAGCAGCGGCAGCAACACCAGCAACACATTGTTCATAACAAAGTACAATGAACTATTTTTTCTTTGACGATGAGTTTACTGTTAGTCAATTTGTAATGGATAGGGCTGGGGGCTTAAAACAAAGGGTTTAGGGTTTAGGGTTTAGGGTTTAGGATTTAGGGCTCGAGTGGAGGCTCTGCTGAAGAAGTCCACACGATATTCGTTGAAATTCACTTTGTTTTTGTCTGGGGTGAAAAAATGCAGGCCCAAGACCCCAAACTGTAAAACAAAAACCCTAAACCCTAAACCCTAAACCCTAACATACCAACAGACTTACGCGCTGCATGTAAATGTTCACCCTGTAAAGACAGCATTCTACAGCATCCGTTGCACCAGCAGCAGCTGCAGCAGCAGCAACACAGGCAGCGGCAGATGCAGATGCAGTAACAGCAGCATCTGCAAATGTAGCAGTAGCAGCGACAACAGCAGCGGTTTGTGAGCGTTCGCAACACCTAGCTGCCTCTGCAAACCCTAAACCCTAAACCCCGTGGGTAAAGGGCAATATGAAAGTAGAGGAGTCTGAAAAAAGCAATAATAGAACCCTTAACTTCTTTATTTGAATGGTCGGTGAGGTCCTCAACCTGAAGATGTGCAAGCCCTCGGTTGTGTGAATTTAGAACCCTCAACATTTTTAGCAATGACGAAGCAAAGAGCAGCAATCCTCGCAGCTGTAGGTACACCCAACAGCCTTATTGTAAACATGTGAGAGTGGCTTGTTGACGTTGTTTAAGTTGTCTTGTGTTCAATGCGTTACATTCGTTTGAGCTGTCCATCTCACAGCAGAGTCTCAACAGCACTAAATAGAGTAAGTAGAAGCCAGCGGGAAGCAGACCCTGGGCCTGAGTGCACGTGATGCTTCCCACATGTTTTGAGTATTTTCAATTATCGCTGAGCTTCGAGCTTGAAGCGAGCCGAAACAGCGATCCCCGCATGTGTGAAAACCACCGTATTGTGCACTTTCTGTGCTCTGGCTGGCGGCTGCAGTGTGTCGGGGTATTTTTGGTGTTGATGTCAAGCACTATTGTGAGTAGGGCGTATGCCTTTAATAGAAAAATCATCTGCTTAGTGCGGTTGTAGGTTCGTTCACGTTCCAGGTCTTTAGGTGGTAGACATGGGTGCGTACGTATGTGCGCAGAGTTTCATTTGCAAAGTAGAAAGAAGTAAGTGCTTATCTTCCTTTTGCGGTGCACCTCTTTTGCATTTACTGAGGGGTATGATTTGGTGCTTCGACATGCGCTCGCCAGACAGAGTTTGGCGTGCAACGCCGTACGTTGTAGGAGCCAACGGCGACGAAGGCATGACTTGTGACGCACACTTAGTTGCATTGTCAATCAGTCCAGTGATATAACATGGTTAAAGAAGCAGCACACTTTTTCAGTGCACATTTCCGATACTCAGGAGGCGGGTGGTGCGGCGCTTCTATACGCATTTGCCAGTCAAGATATGCCGCAGCACGCTGTTACAGGGATTATGTAGTGCACAGGCACTACTATTGGGTTTTCGCATGGCCTCTAGAGGCCTAAAATCATGAAAAGGTATGTTAACTTTAGAATGTTTCACGATTAGGACATTTTTAAATAGAAAGCAGCTTAATAGGTTCAGAAAGCTCGCCAGCCGGCACCAGCTTGGGGCTGGGTGCGAGGCTGTTGCTGTCATCCTAGCCCACGCCCTCGGCGAGGGGTCGGGGATCAGTTCTATTATTAGGGGTTTTCTTGCGAATAACAAGGAACTTGAACATATATTGGGTTGTTAACTGTGTTTATAGAGGTTTCAGCGAGAATCATAGGCTAAGAGCCCAATAATAGCGTGGGCACCTATTCTAGGGGTCTATCGTAGTAATAGTGCAGCCAGCTTGCACTACAGATTAGTTCGGAGGGTAGGCATGGTGAAAGTGAGTTCTTCTGTAGAGGGACGGGAAGAGTTCAAAAAAGCGAGAGACGCGGCGTTTGAGGGAAGGCTGCTTTTAATGCAAATTCATGCAGAAGCCCGCAGTTAGGTGTACAAGGCAGGTGCTTGGCTTCGCGAAATCTTTCAAAAAAATTTGGCTTCCGAGCAGTGGCATTCGATGGTTTATTTTATTGATTTATACTACTCACCTCAAGAGGTTTTGTCGCACGTAGAGGTAATAGCCTTAACAGCATCTTAAACGTCCCTTTATTTCGCTTTTGCTTTCAATGCGTTGTGAACATTTGGCTACTATAAATCAGTATAGGAAGCCAGCTGTTTTGTGCTGGCCTTGGCAGCCAGCTCAGGGGTATCATGAATTCCGTGCAGCATCCATACGTGACTAAGGTGCAGAAGGCTGGGAGTTTTCGTATTGTGAACCGTGGATTCATGCTGCAAACCAAGCGCTTGTCAACAGCAACCAATAACCAGCGAGGGAAGACTTAATGGGAACTAAGCATTGGAAAGGTAACAATTGGCGTGCACTGCGCTAAGCACTCCAGTACCCAGTTGGCTCTTCACTGCATTGAAAGAGCGGCTTAGCACATGCGCACAAGTGAATAGGGGGCCCGAATTTACAAACACAACGCTAGCTGAAGGCTTCTTCCTCGGCATTCAAAGTATTCAACGTGTACGTAGAACAGGCCAGTATCCTCACTTCTTATTGCCTAGGGAACCACTGTTTGGTAGCGATTGCTTAGGCTGGTGTTAAAGGAAGCAGTTGAAAATGTAACACCGGATTTTGTGAGCATGCGCTCATAGCAGAGGATGGCTCTCTGTTGGCATTTTGTCTTGTCCTGGCCGTCCGTACCGGAACACAAATCAGTAGGTTCTTCGGGAAGTTTCAAACGAGCAGCAAACGTCGGACTGGCTTTAGGAAACAGATAGCATAGCCGAGGAAAGCCAGGTCCTGCGTGCAAATCGAGCAACAGATTTTTTATCTAACTAAGCTTCAGATTTGTCTTTGAAGCTCCATAGGCTGTGCATGTGCATGCATGTGCATGTGCTTGATCTATCTGGAGAATATTAGGTAAGCAAATCTCTGCATGGCGGCACATTTAGACTATCAGACGAGCAGTTGAACAAGCTCTAGCTGGCGGCATCGCGCAGCCGAGTTTGTGAGCACTGAAGCGCCCTGGTAGACTCTCCCCTTTATACGCGAGCATTATTCGTTTCGGTTACTTTTAATAGAGCTGCACGGTGCGACTTCACCTCTTAACATTAGCGCAAGGAGCTATGTACAATCGTCCTGCAACCATTTGCTTTAGGAGGAACTGAGCAGTGGCGAGAACGATGAAAGCACAACAGGCAGGAAAGCGGCGCAATATGGGGCTGATCTACTTTTCTTTTTTCCCTACACTCTTCCTTTTAGTACGGGATTGCTTTCCGAGATTTCATCTTTGCTTAACTAAGTCTACATGCCGGCTGTTCCAGCCAGTACTTGATCAGGCATTATGCTGGTTGAGCTGCACAAAGGAATCCCTGCATGGAGAATTAGTGACTGGTCTTGACCATTACGATCATATGACAGAAATAGGCCTTCTGGATAGTGCACTATTCTTCCAGAAGAACAATGCAATATCCAGAAGGCCTATTTCTGCAGGAGTGGTTCGTCAGCATACAAAAGCACTCTCCTTTCATGCTAAAAGATTAGCTTCTTAGGGGTTAGTGTCTCTTCGGCTGAAGTCAAACAAGATCTGCCGTATGGAGAAGCCATTCGGACGCGTCCGTTACCCCTCTACGCTCGAAAGGACGTTCAGAAGTTTTCCGGTATTGCATATTACTACCACAACTTCATCCTTAAGTTTGTCTTCATCCGCGCCACTTTTCTAAGGAAAGGTACAAGCTGAAAGTGGAAAAACAACTCTTTTTGACAGGTAAAGCTGGCAGAAGCCTCATCAGACGCCTGGCATCGGCCCCAGTACTTGCATGCCCTGATTATGACTTCTTCCTGAAAGCCGAAGCCATCAACACAGCGTTTGTAGTTTTTCTCTCTCAGCAAACTAAAGACTCGAGGTTGCACCAAATAATTAGCTGCTATTCACAGAGACTCCTGAAAAGATAGCCGAAGTGTCCGGTACGTGAGAAGGGAATCTGCGTGGTCAGGTGAGAAATAAAAATGAAGGTACCTTTATAGCATGCACTTCACTGTCAAAACCGATCATCGATCCACGACACACTCGACGAAGAAATATCAAGGCTTTAAGGATGACAGAGTCGTTCGGTAACCTGGAAAGCTCACGCAGTAAGACTTTACATCGCCTATATCAAGGCTGCTCGACACTCTCCCGAAGCTTTACTGGCCAAGCATTGTGTTGTGCAAGCGCACTTGACTGCGATTCCCGTGCCCTTTGAAAACTGAGTTCTTCTTCACAGACACCCATGCGGCGGCCGAGATTGTTCTGCCCATCAGCTGGGGAAGGGGCAAGCACGGACAGCATAGACGGGAGCGCCCTATGGTACCCCACACACATCTTGTTTGTTTTGCGAATACGTTCTAGCTTCGTTTTGCACAGAG